GAGCCGTCTTGGGGCCCTCTTGGGGCCGTCTTGGGGGCCTCTTGGGCCGTATCTTGGAGGCCTCTTGGGCAATCTTTGGGGACCCTTGGGCCGTCTCAGGCCGTCGGAAGGCCGAGAAGAAGCAAATGTCAAAATCCTTCAAAAATCCAAGGACAATCCATGGGTCCATGATTTTGGGCTCTTCGGCCCTCCTGGGGGCTCTCTTGGAGGCGTCTTAGGCCATCTTAGAGCCATCTCGGGCCGTCTTGGTGGGCTCCTGGCCCGTCTGACGCCGTCGGAAGCCGTCTTGGGGGCCTCCATGGGCCGAGTTAGGGCCTTCTTGGGGTGCTCTAGGGCCGTCTTGGAGGCTTCCTTGGGCGTCTTAGAGTCCTCTTGGGCCGTCTTTAGGCCCTCTAGGGGCCGTCTGGGGGGCCTCTTGGGCAGTCCTGAGGCCATCTTGGAGGCGTTGCGAGCCGCGCCACGAGCTGTGACGTGGCTGCGCCACTTCCGAGGGATGCCGCTTGGCGCAGCAGCGGAGGATCCAAAGGCGGCACCGTGGCCGCCTCCTGCCGGAGAGTGGGGGGCCAGGCAGCGCGCCCGCTGTGCAAATTCGGTGCGGCAGCATGGGCAAACCGAATTCGGAACGCACTCTCTGATCACGTTCCTTTTGTGGTGCTTGACGCAAGCGTGCGACTCCAACGCTTTGGGTGATGCAAACGCGCGGCCGCAATCAGGACACGAGAAAGGGCGGACTATTTCAGCAGATATTTGAGCGTCATGCTTACCACAGATCGTCTCTGTAGGATGTATCCGAGAGGCGATGCTACCAGATGGGCGCGTCATCCGATCGTGCCAAAAAATAGGGGACTCCAAAAATGACGGCCGGGCCTGAGCGCGGAGCTGGGCCTTGAGTAGGTCCATGTGTTTTGACAGCTGGACTACCCAGGGTAAGTGGCGAGCATCAACTCCGACTCGCATGTTTCAAGCAGTGGCGAAGCGTCCTGGTTCGCCTATAGCCCTACTTAACAATGTTCTACGAAGCTTCTGTGGTTTCCACGAAATGTTATTAGAACATGTCTTGTTGAGATTGTCTTGTTTTAACACATGTGGTCTATATTGTGAGAACATTGTTTTTGTTCTTAGAACATTTTTGGGGTCTAAAAACATTTCGTGGTAGGAGTATAGGAATGCCGGGACGGTCGGTCCCTGCTCAAATGTGGAGCTGGGCCAGGAGCTCTGGAGGCCGGAGGCCGGCAGACGCGTGCAGCGACAGAGCAAGGCGTGCACGTGCCAAGGCCGCAGGCCACACTTTTGGTTGTCGCAAGCGTTCCCAGACGTGGAGGTCCGAGACGCGCGTCGCGAGACTGGGGCGCGGTGCTCCCGCAATCCTGCGAAGGCCTCTCGTGTATATCGGGGGCGGCAAAGAGGGGGATGATGGCTAGGGGGGGGTGGATCTCATGGCGGGGGCCACGATATTTCCCCAGATTTCTTGGCGCCTCTTCTTGCTTCGTTACGTCCCTGGGCCCCCCCGCTGGACCGCGCACATGCCGCCGGCCGTGATCTGCACCCCCACCTCTTGGACACCCCCCTCTTGGCCGCTCCCGACTATGCGGAATTCAAGGCGACCAGGTCAGTGTTCGACGGCAGCGCAAGGCGGGGCACAAAGGGCAGGCGGCTCAGCACAAAGGAACGAGGGAAGAGGCGAGACCATGGTTGAGACCCAGCAAGCTGAACCCACACGTCGGAAAGGCCAGAGGAGAGTACGCTGCCAGAGCTGAGGACACGCGGTGCCGAGTATTGCAAAGCGTGTCACCGTTTCCACTCGCGCACACGGACGACCGCAGATGTATGCACTCTTGCACAACCGACGGCCACGCGTTACGACGGTGAGGTATGGGAATGGCCAGCTGTCCATCTGGCCGGCGGCGCCTCTGAAGGTGTGTAGTTGGACCGTGACCCAAGTACTTCAGAGGACATTCGCTTTTCCCCAGATTCCAGGTCAGCTCAAGGTGCAATGAGTCGAAGAGCTCGATAAGCACACCAAGGAGTACAATGATGGCATCGTCTAGCGCCTGCGGCGTGTCCGTAATATCAGATAATGGCTTTGCCGTCGACGAAAGTAGCGTCGAATGCAGGCGCGGTGCAATCGTCGGACAGGTCTGGCTCAACCCGGAAAGCTCCGCGTGGTTGCTTGAGTCTCAGAGCCAGGCCTCGTGCCAAGCAAACGTGATGCAGTATGGGCAAAGCAACGGCACAGTGGCAGCTCAAACTGGTGGCCCCCAGCTTGCACCCCTGGCGGCCGTCTGTCCTGCTCGACACCGGGGCGCCATCAGAACCGACCGAGAACCGCGCGCCCAAGCGGAGAGATGGAGACATCTCGACGGCCTCGGCGTTGGCGCCCCACCCCGCGAGAAAAGGACCGCGGACCTCGATGTAGCTGGCTACCCACTCCGCTGCGCGATGAGACACTCCCAAGTCCTTCAGGGCTGCAGTGGGATCATCCGGAGGGCGAGGTCCGAAACCGTACACGATCTCCTGGATTGTTTTGTCGAACGCCTTAACAAGTCCATCTTCGTCTTTATGTATATGTATGTATGTATGTATATATATATATATATATGTACATATATATATACACACTACCGCGCCTCGAGGCACGAAGTAAAGTGTCCACAGGTCCTCAAGGGTTCCCAGTTCTCTGTAAGGACAAGGGGATTACAGTATTCTAGGGGCTGGTGGCCCAAATTCTCCAAATTTCCGTGCGTTCCACGCGCTTTCGCGCGCTCTTGGGTTCGGTGGCATGGTTTTCCAAAGGCCACAAGACCTCACGACAGGCCTGGAGGGCCCCAAGAAGCGCCCAGGAGGCCTCCAAGACAAAGAGCGCTCCAAGACGCCCAAGATGGCCCCAAGAGTGCCCAAGAGGCCCAAAAGAAGCCCCAAGAGCGGCGCTCCAAGAGGACCCCCAAGAGGGCCCAAAGAAGCAACAATGATTGATTTCCCTTTTGGTTTTCGATGTTTTTCGCGTTCTCGCATTTTCGGGATTCCGACGCTCCAAAATGGCCCCAGAGGCCCCCAAGACCGCCCCAAGACGGCCCAAGAGGCCCCCAAGAGGGCCCCAAGAGGCGCCCAAGATCGCCCAAGAGGGCCCGAAGAAGGCCCCAAGAGGGAGCCAAGAGGGGGAGCACGAACCGACAATTCGAGCCTTCCGCCGCAGGAGGCCTCAACGAGGCCCCAGAGGCCCAAAAATGGGCCCCAAAAGGGGGCCCAAGAGGGCCCCAGACTGCCCCCAAGAGGCCTCAATTCTGCCTCCAAGAGGCCCCCGAGAGGCCTCGCACGATATCCAAACGAACATCCAAGAAGCCTCTAACCCACAACCCAGGCACGGTGGCTGGATGGGCCGAAGGCCACAATCCGCCGCCCCCTGTCGATTCATCGCCGGGGTGCCTGGCGTGCTGAATCCTCTCGGTTTTGGGTTTGGTTCTTTTTCCAAAAGAACTCCCGCTGTGGGGCTACGGCACGTCCCGCCGGCCACCCAGAACTGCATCAGTCGATGCCTGAAACGGCCGTTTCGCTTGGGACATCCTCAACAAATCGCGAAGATGGCCCAAGATGGCCTCCAAGTCCGCCCAAGATGGTCCAAGACGCCTCCAAGACGGCCCAAGAGAGTCCAAGACGGCCCAAGAGGCCCCCCAGGGGCCTCCCAGACGGCCCAAGTGGCCTCCAAGAGGTCCTCCAGGAAGGCCCGAAGAGGCCGAAATCATTGATTGTCCTCAGGTTTTTGAACGATTTTGGAACTTGCCTCTTCTCGGCATTCCGACGGCTCAAGACGGCCCAAGAGGCCCCAGAGATCGCCCAAGAGGCACCCAAGAGGGCCCCATGACGGCCCAAGTGGCCTCGAAGACGGCGCCAAGAGGGCCCCAAGACGGCCCAAGAGGCCTCCAACACGCCCAAGATGGCCTCTAAGACGCCCAAGATGGCCTCCAAGACGGCCCCGAAGCGCCCCAAGAGGGTCCCCCGTTGGCCCAGAAAGGCCCCCAAGACGGCTCCCGACGGCGTCAGACGTGCCAGGAACCCACCAAGATGGCCGAAGTTAGCTCGAAGCTGGCCCAAGACGGCCCAAGAGGCCCCCAAGAGGGCCTCCAGGAAGGCCAGAAAAAGGCCAACAACCTTGGTTTTCTCAAGGTCTTCGAAGGATTTTGGCATTTCCTTCTTTTCGGCCTGCCGACGGCCCGAGACGGCCCAAGAGCCCCCAAAGATCGCCGAAAGATCGCCCAAGAGGTCTCCAAGACGGCCAAGATGACTTTCAAGATGCCCACGTGTTCCCCGAAGGCTTTCCAAACCGATTCGGGGAACACATGGTCCGATGGCTTGGCAGGTCTGGCCTCAACGTTCGGACACATCGGCGCTTCCAAAAAGGCTTGGGGCGGCGGTGATTCGCCGTAGGCGTCTTCGATCCGCCGCCCCCTGTCGATTCATCGCAGGGGTGCCTGGAATGCTAGACCTCTCGGTTTTGGTTTGGGCTCTTCTTCCCAAAGAACTCTCCCAGTGGGTTTCGGCCCTTCCCGCTGGGGTCCCGGGAGGATTGCCCAGGACCCCAACGTCCCGAAAAAAACTTCAACACGGCTCAAGATGGCGTCCAAGATGACCAAGATGGCCCAGGATGGTCTCCAAGACGTCTCCAAGACGGCCCAAGATGGCCTCCAAGACGGCTAAGATGGCCCCAAGATGCCTCCAAGACGGCCTAATATGTACCCAAGACGGCCTCAGCCACCAAGATGGCCGAAGTCGGCTCGAAGCTGGCCCAAGACGGCCCAAGAGGCTTCCAAGAGGGCCTCCAGGAAGGCAAGAAAAAGGCCCAAAACACTGATTCCCCTTATGTGTTCGAAGGATTTTGATATTTGCTTCGTTTCGGCCTTCCGACGGCCCAAGAGCCCCCAAGAATCGCCCAAGGATCGCTCAAGCGGCCTCCAAGATGGCCCCAGAACGGCCAACGAGGCCCCCAAGACGGCCCCAAGACGGCCCCACGAGGCACCCAAGACGGCCCAGGAGGCTTTTAAGACGCCCAAGATGGCCTCCAAGACGGCCCTGGAGTATTCCAAGAGGGCCCCAAATCGGCCCAGAGAGGCCCCCCAAACGGCTTCCGACGGCGTCGGACGGGCCAGGGGCCCACCAAGACGGCCGAAGATGGCACTAAGGTGGCCCTAAACGGCCCAAGAGGCCTCCAAGAGGGCCTCCAGAAAGGCCCGAAAAAGCCACAATCATTGATTCCCCATGCGTTTGTGAAGGATTGTGGCATTTGCTTTCGTTTCGGCCTTCCAGCGGCCTGAGACGGCCCAAGAGCCCCCAAAGATCGCCCAAGAGGGCTCAAGACGGCCCCAAGAGGCCCCCAAGACGGCCGAAGAGGTTTCCAAGGCGCTCAAGATGGCCTCCAAGACGGCCCAAGAGCCCTCCAAGACGTCCTCCAAGAAGCCCCGAAAGGGTCAACATGGCATCCAGGCGGCCAAGATGACCTTCAAGATGCCCACGTGTTCCCCGAAGGCTTTCCAAACCGATTCGGGGAACACATGGTCCGATGGCTTGGCAGGTCTGGCCTCAACGTTCGGCCACATAGGCGCTTCCAAAAAGGCTTGGGGCGGCGGTGATTCGCCGTAGGCGTCTTCGATCCGCCGCCCCCTGTCGATTCATCGCAGGGGTGCCTGGCGTGCTAGACCCTCTCGGTTTTGGTTTTGGTTCTTTCTCCAAAAGAACTCCCCCTGGGGCTTCGGCCCGTCCCGCCGGCCACCCGGAAAAGACTTCAATTGCATAATTGTTCCTCCAAGGCGGCTCAAGATGGCCTCCATGATGGCCACGTTGGCCCAAGATGGCCTCCAAGATGGCCTCCGATGGCCTTCAAGTCCGCCCGAGAGACGGCCTCCAAGACGGCCCAAGAGAGTCCAAGACAGCCCAATACGGCCCAAGAGGTCCCCCAGAGGCCTCCAAGACGGCCCAAGATGCCTCCAAGAGGTCCTCCAGGAGGGCCCGCAGAGGCCAACATCATTGATTGTCCTTAGGTTTTTGAATGATTTTGGCATTCGCTTTTTGGCTTTCCGACGACCCAAGACGGCCCGAGAGGCCCAAGACGGCCCAAGAGGCTCCCAAGATCGCCCCCAGCCATCGCTTTTGCTGTGTGTGCAGTCTTGAGCCTGTTCGTTCTTGAGGAATCGATCGACGTCTTTGTATATGTATGTATGCATGCATGTATGTATATATGTATATACGTATGTATCAAGCATGTACGTATGCATGTATGCATGTTTGTATGTAAGTATGTATGCATGTATGTATACATGTATGTATGTACGTATGCATGTATTTAGATATGGTTGTATTTACGCGTACATATAATTACGTATGTATGCATGCATGCATGTATGTATGTATGTATGTATGTGTGTATGTGTAAATATATACGTATGTAATCGAATAATGCAATGTGTACATACATATACACATATCGATAGAGGGAGAGGTGCGTGTGTGTGTGCATGTGTGCATGCGTGCATGTGTTTGTGCATGTTTGTGTGTGTGCGTGTGTGTGGGGGATTTCTGTGGCCGCCGCAGGAGGTGGCCGAGCTGGCCATGGAGGCCTGCACTTGGTCCGTAGTCGTGCAAACAGGAGCGCGTTAATTTCAGCTTTCGCCTTCCGATCACTCTTGCCTGTTAATTTTTGTTCCCGCCCCAGATCCTGACGCTGTTCTCAAACAACATGGACAACATAAGTATATCGTTTCGGAGGTCCGCGTGGCGTTCCTGGATCGGCGTTGGACCCCCTGGCGACGCCTCTGGCACCACCCATGGCGGCCAAGGAAGAAGGGTCCAACGCCGATCCCAAAAATCCGCGCGGACCCTGAACATGTTTTCGTATGCAGTTTATTCCTCTAGCCCTGGATCTTGACGCGGTTGGTGAACATATTGGCAAACGTAGGAAATGTGTGCAGACCTCGTCTCTGCTGTTGGAGACTAACAATGCGGTTTGCGCGGTTGCTTACTCGGATTACCGCGGTTGCCAGGCCTTCCTGGGGACGCCCATTCGGTTGTTTGCAACAGGAAGCCTCCCAGGAACTCCCAGGGGCTCTGGCTTCATAGTAAGGATGCGATGCTTTATCAAGGCTACCCTTGCATCCCTGCTTCTTCGGCCCATCCTGAGCAAATGTTGTCGTCCGAGAAGCTCTACCTGGTGACTGTGATTTCCAAGGTTCTTGAATCCCTACCTTATCTTACCATGTATTTTGACTGTACTACGTTTTTTTTCAGGAGCCTCCCAGTCCGGCTCCCAGGCTCGCGCGGAGTGCACTTTGGTCACCACAACAAGTACACTCGGCATCATCGCCTGCGTCGCGCAGAGCTTCCCCCCCTTCTCCCCGTCAAAGATTCACCTTGCATCTCCACGGGCAGGCAAACGGCGAGGACAATAACGGCGTGGTGCGACACGACATTGCAGGCGAGGCTGGTCTACGAACATGATTGCGCTTCTGTCAGAACGGATCCCTATGCGCAGCCAGTGCCCGCATCGGGAATGACTGTCACAGAAATTAGGATCCAGACCACACCGCTAACTAGCCACACCGTTTGCCTGGCCTTGGTACCATTGCTGGCATGCTTCACTCAGCGCGAGGTTTCGCTCAGCTTCGCTCAGCTCGGCTTGCTGACTTCCTCTCGCCGCAGCTCAGCCAAACCCATGTCGGCTCACGTCTGTTCGTGTCAACTGTTTTGCTCAAGTCGAGGGCTATGTAACCACTTTGCGCTGCACACCGCGGCCCCCCGTTCCTCGAGGTTCTGCGGGGATGGCGAGCCTCGCAGCAGTCAGGCTCCCTGCCGTCGGCGAGCAGTTCCCGCGACCAAGGAAGGTGCCGGCGTGGGCGCAGGCACCCAGCGCGGCGCCCACACCGAGGCAACCCTCGACTCCAAGGAAGGCCCGCAGTCGCCCCAGCGTTGCCAGTGCGTTCAAGTGCCTCCAGCAGTCCGGCCCAGGCGGCCCGTCCGGCGACCACGCGAGGGCCAGGCTGGGCTCTGTCACCCGCGGCCTCGCGACCCGCAGGCCCCGCGCGCCTGATTGTCCCCGGCCTGTGGCTTCGGCGACTCTCAGCGACCGCCCCGAAGCAAAGTTGGACAGGTGGAGCTCCAAGCCTCGCCCTGGCAGCCGCACGTCTGGCCGGCACGTGGCCGCGGCGTTCACGGCGCCCGAGTTGCTCGGCATGGAACCTGCCACCAGCGGGGCGTTGAGCGACCAGGCGAGCGACACTGAGTCGGCCTCCGAACTCTTCGAGGAGCCCCCGAGGCCCTCCCAGGAGGCGCCCGCCCAGGCCCGCCCTGGCCATGCAGGGAGGCCGCTATCGGCGAGGGGAAGCAGCCGCGGCCACGGGGAAGCCGTGTCGGGCTGCCATGGCAGGAGTGGGCATCGTTATCGCGGCCCTAGGGCGTCGCTGACCCTCAACAACCTGACTGAGCTGCTGACTCCCGACGACCTCGCGGAGCTGCAGGAGCTCGACACGGGGATCTCCAAGCCTCGCCCAGGCAACCGCACTTCTGGCCGGCACGTGGCCGCGGCGTTCACGGCGCCCGAGTTGCCCGGCATGGAGCCTGCCACCAGCGGGGCGTTGAGCGACCAGGCGAGCGACACCGAGTCGGCCTCCGAACTCTTCGAGGAGCCCCCGAGGCCCTCCCAGGAGGCGCCCGCCCAGGCCCGCCCTGGCCATGCAGGGAGGCCGCTATCGGCGAGGGGAAGCAGCCGCGGCCACGGGGAAGCCGTGTCGGGCTGCCATGGCAGGAGTGGGCATCGTTATCGCGGCCCTAGGGCGTCGCTGACCCTCAACAACCTGACTGAGCTGCTGACTCCCGACGACCTCGCGGAGCTGCAGGAGCTCGACACGGGGATCTCCAAGCCTCGCCCAGGCAACCGCACTTCTGGCCGGCACGTGGCCGCGGCGTTCACGGCGCCCGAGTTGCCCGGCATGGAGCCTGCCACCAGCGGGGCGTTGAGCGACCAGGCGAGCGGCACCGAGTCGGCCTCCGAACTCTTCGAGGAGCCCCCGAGGCCCTCCCAGGAGGCGCCCGCCCAGGCCCGCCCTGGCCATGCAGGGAGGCCGCTATCGGCGAGGGGAAGCAGCCGCGGCCACGGGGAAGCCGTGTCGGGCTGCCATGGCAGGAGTGGGCATCGTTATCGCGGCCCTAGGGCGTCGCTGACCCTCAACAACCTGACTGAGCTGCTGACTCCCGACGACCTCGCGGAGCTGCAGGAGCTCGACACGGGGATCTCCAAGCCTCGCCCAGGCAACCGCACTTCTGGCCGGCACGTGGCCGCGGCGTTCACGGCGCCCGAGTTGCCCGGCATGGAGCCTGCCACCAGCGGGGCAATGAGCGACCAGGCGAGCGGCACCGAGTCGGCCTCCGAACTCTTCGAGGAGCCCCCGAGGCCCTCCCAGGAGGCGCCCGCCCAGGCCCGCCCTGGCCATGCAGGGAGGCCGCTATCGGCGAGGGGAAGCAGCCGCGGCCACGGGGAAGCCGTGTCGGGCTGCCATGGCAGGAATGGGCATCGTTATCGCGGCCCTAGGGCGTCGCTGACCCTCAACAACCTGACTGAGCTGCTGACTCCCGACGACCTCGCGGAGCTCCACCAGCTCGACACGGGGATCTCCAAGCCTCGCCCAGGCAACCGCACGTCTGGCCGGCACGTGGCCGCGGCGTTCACGGCGCCCGAGTTGCCCGGCATGGAGCCTGCCACCAGCGGGGCGATGAGCGACCAGGCGAGTGACACCGTCTCGACCTCTGATCCCTGCGAGGAGCCCCCGAGGCCTTCCAGGGCGGATACAGGACTCCGTCTGGCTAGCGCGATCGGGGGCCAGGAGAATCGGCCTCCCGCCCTGCTAGGACTCGCCCGCCCCAACGGTGAGTTCCCGCGGCCGCAGCGGGACGAGGGCTACCGCAGGACGCCGCCCTGCGCGGGTCGGAGCCCGTGCGGCACTTGGCCGGTGGGCCCCACCCGCCCGCGAGAGGGGGCCCCCGCCCAGGCCCGCCCTGGCCACGCCGGGAGGTCGCTGTCGGCGAGGGGCGGCACGGTGACGCGCTCCAGGGGCGTCTAAGGCCCAGCTTCGGGAGGCAGGGTGCGGCTCTCTACGATTAAGTCGGGCCTGTCCCCCTACAGGGGGATTTTCGACGAAAAATAAAACAATACACAACAAATATTCCAAAATGGTCAAAAAGTACTCAAAAAAGATAGTCCCCAGACTATTTGTTGACTATTTTTGAATATCCCCCCTGTAAAGGGACAGGCCCGACTTCACTCTACGACGTCCGAGGCCGCGTTTGGCGCCACGGGCAGGCCTTTTTTGGTTGCTTTACCCCTTGGCTGGAGACGAGTTCGTCCGAGCTGGCTTGGTGGAACAGACTGTCTGCCTGCCACACACGGCGGCCTTTGCGCGGGTGACCTACAAGAAGGCACCCGGTTGGGGTTGTTTCACTTTCCACTGTTTCCTTGGAGTGCTGTCTGCTGGTATTGCGCATTTCAAATTCGTAAGATATCCAGCTGCCTTCGGCAAGTCCCGCCACCGCGCCAGCCCAGCGTTCTGGGTGGCGACCGCTCGAGGTGGCACGAGAGGCCAACACGTGTGACACCTTGTGCCCCCTGGCTTGGGAGAGCCGCGGTGAGGATGATGATCGGATGATGATGTTGATGCTGGTGATACTGATGCTGATGATGCTGATGATGATGCTGATGCTGATGCTGATGATGATGATGATGATGATGGTGATGGTAATGGTGATGGTGATGGTTGTGGTGGTGGTGATGGTGGTGGTGATGATAACGACGACGAGGAGGAGGAGGGTGGTGATGATGCTGATCATGCTTTCTGTTGTGCTGATGATGTGGTGATGGTGATAGTGATGCTGCTGCTGATGATGATGATCGTGATGATGAGGCTGAGGATGATGATAATGATGATGATTTTGTTGATGGTGATGAGGATGGTGGCGATGATGCTGATGATGATGATGATGATGATCATGATGATGATGATGATGGTGATGATGATGATGGTGGTGGTGGTGACGAAAATGCAGCTTACGGTGGTGATACTAGTTTTTATGGTGGTGTCAGGTGGTGATAATGGCGATGCTGCTGATGATAATGACAATGCTAATGACAATGCTAATGATGATAATGATGCTGATGCTGATGGTGGTGCTGATACCGATGATGATACGGCTGCTGCTCCTCATGATAATGATGACGGTACTGTTGCTGCAGATGATGATGATGATGATGATGATGATGATGATGATGATGATGATGATGATGATGTGATGATGATGATGATGATGATGATGATGATGATGATGATGATGATGATGATGATAATGATGACGACGATGATGATGATGATGATGTTGATGATGATGATGATGATGATGATGATGATGTGGATGTTGGTGTTGATGTTGATGTTGATGCTGCTATTGTTGATGCTGATATCGATGCTGATGTTGATGCTAATGCGGCTGCTGCTATTGAGGTATTGTTGTTTATGACTCTGGTGATTATGATGTTGCTGCTGGTGGTGATGGTGCGGATGGTGACGATGCTGACAATGGTGAGGATGATGCTGATGATGATGATGA